CCGCCGTTATGGCGGGACCTGCAGATGCTGCAGGTGAGCACGGGGGCCTGGCTGCGATGTCTGCACACAGGCCTTGTCCTTGCTGCCTGCACGCACCAGGGCTGCCGTATCAGGCGGCAACTCTGGTGCGTGCAGGCAATAAGGACAAGGCCGCTTGATACGGCTTGCATCGACTGCCTGGCTGCTGCGGGGATTTGAAATTTGCACTGAGATCCGGTGCTGCTTCCTGCAGCATGGTGCCCTCGTCTCACATTTGACTGGAGGAGACCAAACGGTGCGCGGTGTCGGATACATGACGGCGCGTCGCTCCGGCCCGCTGCAACCCCCTTTTTCCCCCTGCAACCGGGCAGCTCCACTGCGGCAGCGTCGGGCTGGACGAGGCGATACTGGGGGAGGTCACCCAGGAGCTGGCGATGCGAGAGGAGGCGGCCGCCGCCGCCGCGGCCCCGCCCGGCGCGGGCGGCGGCGTGGCGGTGTCGGCGGCGGCGTGCGTGGAGGCGCTTGGGGTGGCGCCGCCGGTGGGGTGGCACTGATGCGGGTGAGGGCTGCGCTGGAGTTGGTGAGAGAGATGGAACGTGGGCGGGTGCTGCCGAGGCGATAAAGGTGCCTCTGCTAATGAACATGCCCTTGCAAATCTGCGTGTAACACTCGCTTGCTGTGAACCATATATTTCTGGTTTTCTGTGCGCATCATTGGCTTGCACCCCTAGGGGAGACAGGGTCATTCACCTTCACAACTCTTACTTGATTGCCAGCTGTGATTTCTTGCCTTGTTCTTTTCTCCGCCTGCGCCCCTGCTGCTCGGCACCAGTCTGTGTCAGCGCAGCGCACAGCGAACCCCTCCCGACGCTTGTGTCACCCTCCCAGCCCCGCCGACTCAGCCATCCGACCAGCCTCCGAATCACATGAAAGATTACATGACAGATCATTACATGATTCAAAAAAGGGTCCGACGACCCCACCCCCACCCGCGGCCAGCAGATGGCCGGCCCGCGGCGGGCCCCACCACAAACACACACGCGCGCGGTACACACGCGCGCGCGGCGCTGCCGCCGGCTTAGGCGGTGTGGGCGACGCTCCCGGGGTCGACCAGGGCGATGATGGCGCCGCTGTCCTTGGGCAGGTCGTTGAGCAGCTCGATCTTGACCACGTACTCGTCCTTCTCGGGGCCCTGGCCGGGGATCATGTCCAGCAGCTGGCCGCCGAACCAGAGGGTGCCGCGCTCGCCCTTCTCCTCGGTGAAGGTGCCGGTGATGGCGGTGCGGCCGACGACCTGGCCGTTGACGGAGACGAGGAGGACGGCGGCGGACTTGTCGCCCAGGAACTGGGCCAGCTTCAGCTTCAGGTCCAGGGACTGGGGT